AGGTCTGCGACCGAGCTATCCTGTCTTGAAGTTGTTAGCGCGCAATCAGTGTTGCGGTGAAGCCTACGCGCAGATTAGCGACAACGTACACTCTCTGTTGCTGAGTAAAGTCTTCGGGTAGTCCGTTCCGCTATCTCGTCATCCTTAAATGGTAACGATAAATATATCATTTGCTTCTCCGCGGAAACGTGTTTGAGATTTTGTACTCGCTGTTCCACATGCCTCTGGATGCATTTTCCATGGTACCCATTACGCTCGAGTACGCCTCGTATAAAGCTCAACTCATCTAAAGACGTATCATCTGTACATATTTTCCTCACTCTCTCCGTTAGGCAACGGACGAGGTTCCTTTTTTGACTTATCGGAACAAAACTAGCGAAATGGATCTACTGTCCATTCCAGGTTTCCTTTCTGTGCACCCTCCTCCGCATTGACCCGTCTGATGCCCTGTTGATTTGGATATCTAAGAATGCCAACGAGTCGTTACGTTCTAGCTCGATAGTGAAAGTTATGTTACAATGTGCAGTGTTAAAGTAGGCCAATAAATCATCGACACACATTCCATTATCCGCAATACAAAATATGTCGTATACATATCGACTGTAATGAGCCAAGCTGTTGATGGCTTCATTCAGCTGGTTGCACTCCAATTGGCTCATGAAGGCGTCCGCGAGCAACGGTCCTAATGGTGAATCCTTTGCCTCCCCGGCTATTTGTTGATATAGCGTTCCATTAAGCTGAAACTGTATGTTTCTCGTACACATGAGTTGTTGTCTCAGCCAGGCTGGTGGGATACCAACCTCGACCTTTCGCAGATGGATGAAGTCGCACAGATAGTCTACGGGCTCCTCCAATGGAACATTGGTAAAAAGAGACACCACATCTAAGTTAAACATCTGTCGCCCAGTTAGCTCAAGTTGTCAGGAAAATCAAAGGTATTCTTGAGACTGTATCTAGCTGTGACTTACCTGTCTGGTTCCAGCCGTTTGACGAGCCACTTGGCGGTTGAATGTTACGATGAGTTATACATATCTAGTATCGGGCTTAGTGGTAGCCCTTCCTTGTATACTTTGGACAGGCCGTACAATCTTGGAATCACTGTCCCAGTCAGTCTGGTGTATTCAATTATATCTGCGTCAATTACATTCTCCTGCTTTAAGCAACGCAGGAGTTTCGTTATGGATCTCTCGAATGCCTGTGTCTTGTAATTCTCATTATCCATTCTACGAAATTTTGCGCCTTCAGACAGAATGGCATACACCTTGCTGATGTAGTCCGATCCTTCCATCAGAACGATCCCGACTCCTTTATCTGGCCTAGACAACAATATCGTTTTGCTTGAGTTCTTTAGGGGTGTCTAGATGTTCCTGCTTCAAATGATGCTTGGCACACGGTTTATAAGTTAAGTACTCGTAACATGCGTTCTCCAGTGTTTACTTACACTGCTAAGACTGATGACGGTACAAGCGTAGCTAATTGGGAATAAAAATTCTCAAATGGGGCCTCTACATCTAGCTGTTTAACATAGTTTCGTGGACAGCAGAATTTCGGACCGTTTGAAAGGGCTTCGAGTAAAACCATGTTTAATTGTAACGATGAGAAACTGTGAACGTTTCTCTCAGGGTCAGGAGGAAATAACTTCTATGATTTACCCACATTGTGTTGTTTCTGCAGTGAGGATACTCGTACTTCCACTTATCGTGCCACAATTCGCTGCATGTATGATTCGAACGATTCGTATTCTTTAACAGCTAGATTCTCCAGCGCGACAGAGAAAACGCATCGGTTAAGCTCGAGTTCCTTAGTCCGCGACACAATCGTATCACGTTCATTCATCGTGTGGCGTTTCAAAGCGGTATTCGTTGGATTAGTTCCATTACATCTGAGAATTTCTCAAAAGTGCTTAGGGTATTCACAACGTAAAATGCACTCGTCAAAAAAATTACACTGACGCTCTGGCTACTGCAATCTTTGTGCTGAACTTAACCTACTGGTTAAGTTCCCTAAACACAGTGGGATCCTTGAACTGTTTCAATTGAGAAATAATTCCCGGAGACGACATCAAAAACAGAAAATAGCGAACAAGCTTATTTTCAGGGCTTTATCATCAGGCTAATACAACTACGATAAAGCAAGCAATTGTTCCGTGTCTTATTTTAGTAAGGGATTTTACCGGGCTCATCACCAATGAGCCCCATTATTCTTCCATTCATAGTGGCGTAGGTCATCGGGGTTGCACTGTCTGTCTCTTCTTTGCGCTAGTCTATTATACTTACAATGACGTCAACCCCCACGGTGACTACAGTTAGCCCCACTAGCGACACTTGTACGGCAGTCCTACTGCGTCAGCGTTCGAAACGCTTGACACAACATAAAGTAACTGTTCTTTGCATTGTACTAACAGCATTTATCTAATTACTTCTCCTTCTCATCTATCGTTTCGCTTGCAGGAGCTGTACTCATGTTTGTATATCAAATAGGGTGGGATAAAAACAGACTTTCAACACATTTACCATCCATAAAGGGTTTTTACTAGATAGGTGCTACTGATTTAAATACTTTCGAGGAAACATCACCATTGTTTGATTTAGTGTCAAATGAGAATCTCATCGTAATTGCTAAGGCGTCTTTGTGATGTTGAATTCCACTTGTTAGCGGACTTTCGAATTATCCTAGACAACGATACCTACTCTAACTACGTTCAGAGGAAATCGATGTGCGCCGTATCTCCGACACACGCATTTCATATGATATTGTCTACTATACTCTCCAAACAGTGAGCTCCGATTACCGTGGCGAAGTCCACGTTGCTCATCTTCTCCGTACCAATTATCAGAAAGCTTGCACTAACCGCGCTGATTGAGTTGCCCAGACACGCCGCTTGAGACGGGGTCCACTCGGGCGTATTTTGGCAAAGAACCGCATGTACACTTTTCTCTTAGACAGTCCATTTTCCGCGCGGCGTTTTCGGGCAGCAAATCGTTTCCGGTCACCCCCCCCCCGTCTGCTATCGCCTATAGTCCAAGTGAGCAGAAACGCGTATCTTGTGATTATTTGGAATCCGGTCAGTTATCATTTCCAACGTGCCACTTGCGTGAGTGCTTTGCTATCGGCGTAATTCTGCTTGCATTGGCTGTCGCTTTCTTCCATAGCATTCAGTCCGCATTCTCTACATCACTGCGGTACGAAGGAACAATTGAGTGGACTGCTAGCTCGTTTTAGTTATAATCCATGAGCCTTGCACTGACTTACATTGGATCTAATTGTGATGACCCGTGTCATAATGGAACGGAAATCATCGATGGAAACTGCAGGATAATTGCACAAACGTATGTGCACAGAATGTAGGGAATTTAAGTCAGAGAACACCTAGTTGTTGCTATCGGACATGATTTGAAACCCAAGCGTAAAGGGCAGAGCTTAAGATCTCTGCTGATTCCTCTACTCATCTGTATTGCGGAGATCTCTATCCACTGAAACTGCGTGTCCCGAGCCCTCTATCGCTAGAGACAGCACGTCCCATCCCGATCAAGCCTCTAGGCTGTTTCCCTTATACCGTCCCTTCACTGGCGACCAATAGCTTCACCTGTGTGTTTATTGGCAAATATTGACCACTTGTTATTCGACGGTCCCGCTAGACAGCGATGCTTTCTGAATTTGTGACCAACGACAATCAGCTTCTCCAATCCTAAATACGCCATGCTTCTGATCTATTCAGCGGCACTATTAAAAGTGCATGATTGTCTACCCTTGACTCATGCTAACAGCTCGCTGTCTCCATCGTTGTTTGAAACTGCGGAAAGCCAAAAGACCTTACTAATGCGTTTGTTAACATCTTTGCTAATTTGTACATCCAACGTGTGAATGATCTGCTACTTTTACTGGCCGTCTGGTTTTCTTAGAAGCTAGTGGTGTTTCGCCCCACACTGTAACATTACCTTTCAGTATAAGAATACAAAGTACGTACCGAAATGTGCAGTTATTTGCGTCGGATTAGCTTAAAGCATAGCAAGTACCAGTCTCATGTGAGCCACTTGATCCTCTGATTGTAAAGCTGTATTCAGGTCAATGCACTCAGCCTCTCCTCAGCAGCAGTAGTGCACCCGGACTCATATTTATCGGAAACTACGTTCAATCACGCACACTTTTACCTCGTATTCATTCTTTCATTCGTAGTGTACTGTCCAATTTTTACATTTCCGCGTTATCACTCAAGCTCAGTCTTCGAGACTGGTATACCAAACCAACTTGGAGCATATATTCTCGTCCGTTAGGCTAAGCTGTACATTGTTCCACCTAATTTACTACAAGTTCCTGGCATCGAGTCTACTTGTGTGGCATCCACGGATGCTTATTTTACTCCGGAAACCCATGTATCTTAGCTGTGAATGCCTTATCCAGGCTGTAGCGATTTTATTTATTTCCTCCACATTTACTCAACCTGGATCCACCCATATGTTAAGCGAAATTGTTCAATGCGATCTCCTTCTAGGCATTCGATAGGAATTCAATATGAGTTCTACAGACAACATATTTAAGCGCTTTCTGCTTTTCACCTTTTTTATATGTTTCTATGACCTGCAACTCCGTGGTGCTTGAAATAAGCCGTCATCGACAAGCATCATGCTTCAGCTCTATACGTCCAGGATCGCTCCATTTTCCAGCTACATCCACTGTAGAGTTGTTCTATCTTTAGCCACCGATCATTTAGACGTTTGAGTCCTGCTTCAATGAATTAAACGCTTCACTTCATTATTTTTGCCTTCGCAACTTGATGCTGATGATGCCTTTAGCAGTTTATAAGAAGTTTCTAAAACCAATCCTTTATCTACTTGCTTGAAGACATTGAGACAAATTCCCGCACGAAACTAATTTATCGTGAATTATCTTCGGTTCGCTTTTCTTTACTTCGTACATTGTCCCGATTAAGCTCGCTCACTTGTGCACTGAAAGTCACTTTCTTGTCCTCTCTGTATGTACACCGCGTTCTTCCCGTCCAGATTCGTCGAGGCTTCACCTTTGATTCGGATACTGACACGGAGGTTATTCCCAAGTTGATGCAACACATTTATGATAGACATCGAAACGTTGAACCCCTTTCGTTTCTCGAAGTTGTCGAGCTGGTGATCAAACAGCTGGTAAGTCGCCTTCAGATCCTACACTCGTTTACTTTGCCACTGGAGCGTATCACACCCATCAACGCATCGTTTTTACTCCGTGGCATTGATATCTTTCTCGATATGTGTTTCGCGCGCATGATGCGTTTACTTGTCCACGGCCACATTTGTTAATGATGCCCCTTTTAGCAAAATGATCTGAATCGATGATTTAATCACACAGCGTTCAACCATACCACTCATCCATATGTGTTTTGAATCATCGTGCACCTGACACTTGGGGTGATGCGGTATAGTACCTCTTGTTCCTTGATTTAACCCGTTAGTCATTCTTCGAACGAATACAAACTGAAGGGGTCTATCTGTCTCTGTAATTAGATTGAGATATCTGTTTAAGAGCTTTTCCTAGTCCACCACAATGAAGCATGTAGGTTCGGTTTGTTCCTTGGCCTCTGATAGCTTTTTTCTACATTCATCTCAACCGAACGGTACTTGACTTGTGACATGCGCGGCCGGTTTACTTATGCGTGGGATAATGTGTGTTTTGCTTAGTACTGCTGCTATTATTCGGCCGGTGCTATTCTATGTAGATCGAATTAATTTCGATTTATAAACGCTTTGTTATCAGTTGAATCCGGTCTGATTAACTTTTACTGAGGTGATGTTTGAGCAATTCGAAGAGATGTTGATAAATACCAAACTCCCTTATCTTTGCAAGTATACTTCCCCGTCAAATTTGTTCTGTTCATAATGTCCACCTTGGTTCATGCTGCTTTCACAAATGGTTTCACTTTTATATCAGTTTTCGGTACTCTACACGCAACACTGATTGTAATGGATTGCTCTTAATCGGCTCGCTCGCATGTGGTTCCAGTTTAACTTGCTCCAAAGTACGACAAAAATTTGTCCATTGCCACAGCCATTAAGAAATCTGGTGGGCAGTACGCTAGGCACGAAAAGCGTGTCTGTTCTCACCTTGACCCGATTCTGGCGCTACAGGGATTAGCTTTGGTCAGTTGGAAGCAGGCGTAGTTGAGCAGCAATCATCCGGCAGCCCACAAACGCAGCTGCGTGTGAACCCTTTTCAGACGAGCGCAAACACATTGTAGCAGACCGCAGCTGAGACGGCCGAAGGAAAACCATATCTTCAGTCTGTTCATGTGAAACTCGTACCCAAAAGGCTTCATTTTACGCTGCCTCGCACCACAAAAGGCTCCTCGGCACACCTTGACAAACGCAAAAGTTGAAAAGAGAGTCACTTTGCCCTATATCAACGGAATCTCTGAAATGGCAGCGAGGCTATTAGTACCTTTTGGAGTCAAAGTTACACACCAGCTAACGGAAACAATTCGCAGTAAACTCTTTAAAGGGAAAGAGAAACTTAGCAAAGAGGAAGAAACAGGTGGGATTTATAACCTCTGCTGCCGGAACTGCGACAAATACTACGTGGGACAGACTGGAAGAAAGGTTGGCACAAGGATACACGAACACAGCCTAGCCATTCGTCGCCACGATCGGTACACTCTGATGTCAGTGCATATGGATGCCGAAAATCATCAATTCGACCTGAAGCACGCCACCATCCTCGGAAGGGCTAAAAGCCGGTAAGCACGTGAGTTCATTGAAGCCTGGCATTCAAGGCAGAACTCGATCAATAAGCACTTGGACATTGAAGTCGCATACGAGGCACTGAAGCCGCACTGATGATATTGTCTTGTCTGGCAACGAAACGTCTGCAAAATAATCACAGCTCTGAGAACGGCTCAAAATCCGCATCCACACCCCGAGCTAGGGATATTTTCATTTACTTCGAAGCTTTGTGTGCGACACACGTGTTACCTTTATGGAACTTGCATCACGGATTGTCTGTGGGAATGGGACCGCATGCGCTGGACAGGTTTTATTCCTGTATCTGGTTACCTTGGTTTCTACTATTTGCTGATACTGTACCTAGCTGAACGTAATTGCTTATCAGCAAACTGGCACTAGTTTTTAAATGCTCTTTCCAGCAGTGCGCCGTGTAAAACCCGATAACGTTCTTGCTCTCGTTTCCTTCCCGACTCTTAACTCCCTCTTTCTGCGGACCATGGTTCTAACGTCGTTACTAGGTTAACATAATGACTGTTTTGTTTCATCACTGAACATTTTAACTAGTTTATACCCAGTAGCCATGTGCTCAACTTACCAGTCAAATGCATTCTTACAGGTCATTTCAGTACTGTGCCATTGACACTATTGCCCTAATCTGTGACAGCTCACAAACGTGCCAAACGTCACAGGACAGATTAGCACTAGCTGTCAACCGCTTCGGGCTTTGCTTTGCACCCTCGAAGTGCAAAGCTTTTCTCCAAAATGGACATGGACCGCCTCCTTCGCTGACCCTTGGTGGGCGCAGCTAGAAGTCGTTCAAAAATTCAACTACCTGGGAAGTTGGATCAGCGCCTTTGGGATCGAACCGTATACAAAGTTCTCGAGATGCTTTTTGCTACCCTTCGCCACCTATGGTGCAGGTGCGACATCACTCTCGACCTGGAGGGTAGACTGTACAATGTAACGCTTCGTTCGACCTTACTGTACGGTTGTGAAACCTGGCCCCTTAGATCAACCGATATAAAGAGGCCAGTTACGTTCGACCACCGGTGCCATCGCAATTTGGCTCACATCTGGGTGGAACACCGCATGAGAAATGATCGTGTCCGACGCCTTGTTTACCGCACAAGAAGTGGAAATGAACCGTTCAGCACCGTTAATTCACCTATCAGGCTCCGTTGACTGGGCCACGTTTTATGCATGCCAGCCCACCGGCTCCCGCGACGTGCGTTGTTTGCACGCTGGCGTTTTGGATTGAAGAAGAGAGGTGGCCAAGCGATGACTTGGTCGAGAGGAATGAAAGCCATCATTTTGTAGATGGCTTCGGTTGGAACGTCTCGGCTGCCTGGTTGTGGTCCGCAAGACGATGAACACGTTTGGCTGGATACACCTGCTGACATGGCGAGGAGCCGATTTCAGTGACGTTCGTGCTGTGAGTTTCTTTGTCCCACCCCATCCCTTTTAGCCTCCCCCACAACCATGTTCTCATTTTGTAGCATAATATAATTTTAATACTAAATTTAAATTTAATAATAAATTTTATGTTTTACTGATAAATTTTTTGCTGCATAGTAGCCGGCTGGTAGCTTTCCGGTACGATGCCCATCTGTTGGTGGTAGCCCAGCTGGCATGCATCCGTTACGTTTTCTCTGTTATGTATTGCGGCACAATAACTGAGGTGTTTTCCTCCCCTAGCTAACGTGTATAATCATGATGATGATGAGTGACCCATCTGTTGTTTAGCACCGACGTTTATCATAATAGAGCAGAACACTGTCAGCGCCTCATGCATCCCATAGTGGGACACTCGTTTGTCTTCCGAAGCCGTTCGTTATTGTAGCAGCGTGTTAGCCCCACACAACTAATCTTATGGTACAAACCTCTGTTATCAACTCACTGGGCGTGGAATCATCATAGTGCTACCACTGGCCTTTCGTGTTTATGAGCCGCAAGGTAGGGTTCAACGTCCATCGTCTGCAGTCATGTCGGATCCCATCACGTATTTAGAATAAGATAAGGATGTTGACCAGCTGCGTTCATCCTACTGTCCTATTGGTTGGTATACATTACGTCTGCTTCTTTTGATCTTGATCAGCGAGGCTGTCCAAAGTACTATCCGTCTTACTACTTTGTTCTATGCCCACGATTTTAACGTTTTACAGCGTCACCAGTTCCTTACACTTGAGACAGGATGCTAAATCCTTCACTTCGGTCACGTATTTGCATTAGTTGCCGCACCAACGCTGTTCCGAATGCATGATTTAGATCTATATGTTGATCTCTCTGTCTCTTCCTCCCTCACATGGTACTGAGCGTCGACCTCCTCGGTGATACCAATGCCGGTGAAGTGTATCGCGTCAAGTAGTCGTAATATGACTCCATGCATATTTGCGTCTCATTATTTGATCCGGTTTTTCATGCCGGTCAAATCCGCGATGTCAGCCATGCGACGTGGTGTCTAGACCTCACATGTTGAGCTTTATAATTGCATCTTAAAGTCTTTGTGAAATAAACAGAATAATGCAAAGACACAGGCGTAACACAAATCGCATTTTTTCCTTTCATTTGTCTTACCGAAGTTTATGCGACATCTTCAGCGCTGCCTATTCGCGACGAGTAATTAACACGACTGTTTTCTCTAGTTTGACCTTAGGTGGTCTGAAGATCGGCTGTACTCTTTTGCAAATTGATAGCAATCTACTTCATTTATCTCTCTTTCTACCACTACAATGCGGTGACCCATCGAGACTTCATTAGGTTACTTTTTGCTGAACTCATCAGGCCGGATACTATCCTTGTCACCAATCCGTTCATTATTGCTTGTTACGGTGATTCGGTTCCCATTTATGGACCGCTTTGCCCACCTTCATCAGTATGTTCAGCTAATAGGCTCCGGATGTTTATTTTTCCACACACATTTCTCAATTCGGACCGATAGTTTAAGTGAGGTCTTGTCGGATCTATCATTCGCTAATCCTGCCTGGTCCGAGGATCTCAATGCTGTACCAGGGCAAGCATACACTCTCTTCGGATTTGCACATCAATCATATTTGACCTATCTGAACGTCCATTACAATCCATCTTTCTGGTTTGAATCCAATTCCACTTCTTTCCGGTCGTTCAGATTTATGTATATGAATGGACCACTGAGAACACGCATGTTGCAAGATGGTACCATTTGGTACCCCTGTTCACTTGCAAACGAGCAACAGATCAAACGGTAACGTCACAAGAAATGAATAATTTGGAATCGGTAAGTCACATGCAGGAAAGGGGACGGTGACTACAAGTTGTGGGCGTATCACGAACTCCAAAGGAGTAGAACAAACAGTTGCTTCTGGACGCACAGTGTTGGACGGTGCTTGTTTGTGGCCACTGCCCCGGCAAACTTGAGGACTCGGGCGTTTGTGTTACGATAGATGACAGTCAAC